TATATATATAATGTATATGTGCAAAATTATAACAAGTTGGGATGGTTGCACATCATGATTATTTTTTTTTTGTTTGGTTATATCAAGAATTGTAAATATTAGGATTTTTCTGCCATTAATTTGATTCAAAATTGAATCTTGATAAGATTTTCTTTTATCTTCTTCTCACAAAATTGAATCCATTTGGGTTTTTTCAGTTGAGCTGAGATTTTGCTGTTTGGCCTTTAAAAGGTTTCATCTTTCTCTCTTTTCTACTGTTTTTGTTTGGTTTATTTTTGGAAAAAAGAAAAAAAAAAAGAACTTATTTAGCATTTAATTAAAGTCAAAAGGGCTTAAAGTTAAGTTAATTTGATTGTTTCTTGAAGTTTTATCCTTTTTCTTTGAAAAAGTTGAATTTTGAATTTCATTCATGTGCTAATTGCAAGAGTTTTGAGCAAAAAATAGTAAATTAATGATTGATTTGAGCATAGGTTGTTTTGGAAATCGAGGAGTAAAGTCTGCGTACACTCTATCTTCCTTTCTTTCACAGAGCTAACGACTTAATAGGATTATACTGGATATGTTGTTGTTGTAGTAAATTGATGATTGATGTATATAGATATAGTGTTTTGAGCCTTTAAGATGAAAAAAATTAAATCTTTTAATAGTTTTTAGCTTATTGGTGTTTCCAAACCTTGATTTCTACATTAAATTTTTGCCCCATTTATCGGTATGTAATTTTAGACTGTTGTTGGTATATGCTAGTAATACAGAGAGGTGAAAAAGGCTATAAAAGTTGTATGAAATGGCTTAAAATCTTGATTAAAATATCGAAAAGCTACTAGAATTTGATGCCTGCACTTCTTACTTGTACAAGAACTTGCTTATTTATAGTCCTGCTGCAGCAATGTGTCGTAGATTAAGATTATTACGTAAGCTTTCGCTAAGGATCAGTCGATTTTCTTGGTACTATGGACAGTCTATTTCCTGTGTGTACATGTTATGATGATCAAATCCTGTTGAAATATGACATTAAGGGGGGAAAGTTCTAAGAAGTGGCGTGTGATAGATTATAAGGCGAATTCTTCATATTAGCTATAGTCGAGAGTAAATAACATGGATTTCGATAATATGGTGTTTTGGTTATCGATCCATTACCTCCAAATCTAGTGCTTAATGACTATATGTTACGAGATGTGTCTTTCTTATTACAAAGTTGCTATTGTCAATTTGCGGAAAGTATTAGCTACTTGTCTACATCAGTGCTAAATTGTGCATATGGAAAGCTAGATGAAGTTCATATATCTTTTCTCATGCTTTATATTCATCGATGTGCTTGTTGATTTTCATGTCAGTCTGTACAAATGAATTCTTCAACATACACTCAGTTTGTTGCCTCGAGAAGGATGGGCATATGTGAGCCGATCCATCAAATTGGCATGTGGGATGATTTCAATGCTAGTTGTCCGAGTACATCGACAACCATGATTCTAGAAGTTGAGAAATGCCTAGAGGACCAGATACCGATGATGGACAAAAGATTAGACATTGAGGTACGTTTCTTTTCCCCTTTTTCTCTTCTCAATCTCTTTCAATCACTCGTGTTTTAGCTATATCCATAAAGAAAAAAGAAGATTTTTCTCTGTTTTAGTTATGCAGCAGATTGTACTGATCAATATAGTTAACGTGTCTAGACAGAAGATACTTCGCATGGAACAGTAGGGACTTCTAATAGATATGAAGCGGAAACAAGTAAACCCATCGAGAAGGTAAAGATGTGTTCTGTTATGAGCGTTTTGTTTGTTACGCCGTTCTCATGAATCTAAAAGTCTTTTGGCATGAGGTGTTTAGAGTTGATTGATTCATAGTTTCGACTGTTTAGTTCCCGTTTAGCAAAAAACAGAATTAGGCCACCTATACATTTTAAACTTTCTTGGAGCTTTAGTCTCTGGTTTTTCAAATAATTAACGGTTTTAAGCTGTGATCTTTGAGGTTTCGACATTCAGGATTTAGATGCCCACATTTACGGAGTACTTCCTATGTGAATTGTTTGTGGAGAAAATTGAGCAATGAGGCAGGAAGCAAGCAGGGAGAGTGGTCCCTAGTCTTGGTTTCCCGAGCCTGATTCTCTATGGCATGGATGTCTTTGATTGGACGGGGGCATATGTATAGAAAGTGTGCATTGAAGATAACATAATAAAAATGTATCGGGACTGGAAATGCTGGGGTGACGGTTCAACTAGACCAATTAGTTAATCCTAACTAATAACAGATAGTATAAAATAATATTAGTATTTACTGTGTACTAATCATAGTCCTATTAGGATTAGTACTCCTTAATCCTAGGCCTATTAGGATTAGTACTCCGTCCGACACACCAGAATGAAGTTCAGGCCGGCACCATGACTGAGCAGTATGTACCCAGTGAAGAACAACCGGCTGATATTCTCACCAAGCCTCTCCCGAGCCGACAGCACGATTACCTCAGTTCCAAGCTTCCGTTCGCTTCCGCTCATCTCAGCTTGAGGGGATAATAACAGATAGTATTAAATAAATAGTATAAAATAATATTAGGATTAGTATTCCTTCCTATATCTCCCATGTATTCCCTTAACACTTCAATACAATCAATATTCCTTCACTAACTGTTGTAAAAGGTCTAAGTTTTAATGAATGACAAACACGTAAAATAATAGTAGAAGAAATATACAGGAGAGGTAGGGGAGACAGATTAGGTGCGACTGCATGACTTTCTGTTTCGGAGGTTCTTTTATTTCATTGACATGTTGACAAGTATCTCCAACGCACATTTTTTTTCGGCTTCTTGTTTCCAAGCAATAGCTTTTGTTTATATCTTCCTCAAGGTTCTTGTTTCTTTTTCGATTATTCTTCTGTCGGAAATGAGAAGTCAAAAGTATAAAATTTCTGTTGCAGTAAAATTTATGTCCAAGCCTGATATGCAGGTACTTAGACGTCTTGCTCAAAACCGTGAGGCTGCTCGTAAAAGCCGTTTGCGGAAGAAGGTAGTTCCTTGAGTTTTTCTAATTTTAATATGCAACATTATATTCCTAACCAAACTTACTCTTCCTTATCGAACCACACGATTTGGTGTTCTGATCAAGTCACTAATTTTCCGAGTTTACGTTCTGTTACTTAGGCCTATGTTCAGCAGTTAGAAAATAGTAAATTGAAGCTGATTCAATTGGAACAAGAACTAGATCGGGCCAGAAAACAGGTAAAGGGACAATTTCTGTTTTTTTTAAAAAAAAATTTATGAAGCTGAGATTTTGATCCTTTTTCGGTGATTAATGCCACAACGTTTTACATTTTAGGCTGAGAACGAAATCTAACACATTGACAAACATTTTGCTACAGGGTCTGTATGTAGGTGCTGGTTTAGATGCTAGCCAGCTAAGTTACTCTGGAACTGCTAGCTCAGGTTTGTTGTGTTGGTTCACACCGTGTTGTCAACTTTTCATGTACTTAATCAAATTTCATGCTTGAATCTGTCGGAGAGATTGAATTATGCAGATGCACTTTAGTCAGATTAAACATAAAAAATGATATCATTGTTCTGCTTTATCTGTAAATAAGACTTACGGACTAGAGAACCTATAGAAATGAATTTGGTTCTTACCGGATTATTTTACATGTATTTCATTAATCATGTGTGACTGATAAAGTTGCTGTCATGTGACCGAAAACTCACGGGGTTGAGCGGTGGAAACAACCTCTTGCAGAAAAGCAAGGCAAGACTGTGGTACGATAGACCCTTGAGGTCCGGACCTTCCTCGGACTTCTCGCATATTCGGAGCTTAGTGCATCGAGCTACCTTTTTTATTCATCCTATTTGTTCTACTTATCAAATTCTTCATGTTGCTTGGACTCTCTTGAAATGCTACCGCACCTGTGTCAGCTCCTCCAAATGTACCCTCTTTGGAGGGTCCGACACACATGGTGACATTTTTGAAGAATCCGAGCAACATACCAGTTCTGATCACACTGATAATCATTCGTAAAATGTGTGTTAGATAAGACCAAAGCTAGAACAATTTCCTCTCTTTGAACTTTCTCTAACTTCTCGAATCCACAGGAACTGCTGTATTTGATACGGAGTATGGTCAGTGGGTGGAAGAGCAAAATAGACAAACAAATGATTTAAGGAATGCTCTGCATCATTCTCAAATTAGTGAAGCGGAATTACGCATTATCGTTGATGGTTGCCTGAACCACTACTATGAGCTCTTCCGCGTCAAGGCTACGGCTGCTAAAGCTGATGTCCTATATATCATGTCTGGCATGTGGAAGACATCAGCAGAACGCTTTTTTATGTGGATTGGGGGGTTTCGGCCATCCGAGCTTCTAAAGGTAATAAACGCTTCAGGTCGGATTCATTTTTTACTTTTTGTAACCAGCATATATGGATTATACACTATTATACATTTGCCGGCTTAAGCAGTTGTATGGACAACTATTTAGGTTAATTATTCCAATATTAATCTAAGTACATCTAATATTTATATTGAAACTCAGTATCCATTGCTAGGATATGTCGAGTAAACGTTTGTATCATTGACGCCAGACATATGATCTTTCTTTCCTTGAACTCGTGACTGATTAATCGTCTTGTTCTTCAATGTTTTTGATTATCAACGTTTCTTATACAAGTTTTTTTTTTACAGGTACTCACACCACATCTTGAGCTCTTGACAGAACAACAACTCCGGGAGGTTTGTAACCTCAGGCAATCGTGTCAGCAAGCAGAAGATGCCTTATCACAAGGAATGGTAAAACTTCATCAGATTCTCGCTGAGGCTGTTGCAGCTGGTCAATTAGGTGAAGGGAATTACTCTCTTCCGCAGATGGGGCCTGCCATCGAGAAGTTGGAAGCTCTTGTTAGGTTCGTAAATCAGGTAGTATCGCATATTGGATTTTCTTTCCTTTCAATAGATGTTCTATCTTTCAAAGTGATTTCTATAAACTTCATGTCGTATGCACCCGTAAAAGATTGCGAGTAAACTCTGAGAGACAATTTGTGCTGAAATGAGGGAATGATCAGATTTTTTGTTTTTTATGGGAAGGGAAAATGGGGGAGGTAATTACAACGTAGAGAACGAACCCTAAAAAACAAGTTAAAAGTTCAGGTAACCAACCAACAAAGCTATTAAGATTCACGAGGGAATGATTAGATAGCATTATTTCTGGTATGCTTAAATTCGTTCATTTGGTGTAAGCAAGGTAAGATTTTCATGAGCGGAGAGTTGTGTCTGGGTCGTTTATGTGTGGTAAGTCTGTGATGTGGATATTCGAGTCGTTGTCCTGACTTGTCTCTGTTCCGTTTCTGGAAACAGGCAGATCATCTCCGGCAAGAAACACTTCAACAGATGTCCCGCATCCTGAATACGCTCCAAGCAGCTCAGGGCTTACTCGCCTTGGGGGAGTACTTTGAACGGCTTCGTGTTCTAAGCTCACACTGGGCTACTCGTCTTCATGAGCCGGCCTAATGAAGCTATAGAAGATCCCTCAATACACCATTCGACGAGTTTTGCCTTCAGAAACTATACTATGTAAGCTAAAATTTAGCTCTTGTTTATGTCAATAAAGCTCTCAATATGAATATAGGACATTATACTAGTTGTACAAAGGGTCTCCAAGAGTCTATTGTGGCTTATGTTTCCGAGCAACTTTTGAACGCGTTGGAGATGAGAAATTGATATGTATATAACATACGTCGAGCAATGGCATGACTAATATCATGTTGTGATTTCTCGTGAGAATGTTTTTTCGAAGATTTGCATCTAAATATTTACTTTTACAGGTTTTGGTTAGGAAAGAGTGTTGCTCACTTAGAGAGACAGATCCAGGATTTGAACTTAATGAGTTCAGCCTCGCAATGAACTCATACAAGTAAAATTATGGATTTGATCCAAGTACGTTTGTTGAGTTTTTTACTAGGTTTTAAGTTTTAATCGTATACATATATGAACTCCGTGACGAAAATTATGGACCGTGTCAAAAGTTATGGATTCAGATAAACATCGTAGCCAATTGGCTACGTCCGTTTTGCTCGCTTGGTAATTGGTAGGGTGTGCATAATCAAGTCGATCGAATGTTATGTTTGTGCCATTTCTTATAAGTATTATTATCTCACTATGTTTTTGCTATATGCAATTCATTTCATGTTTTTGATATTGGACACCACTTACTTAACAAGTTAATCTAAGATAATTCATTAAATTTTGCTAAAATATAATCCAAATGATCATTCTTACTTTTCATTTTTTCTTTATTTATTATTTAATAATCATATATCATCTTATATCCTACCTTTTCATAATAGCTCTATCTCGTACCCTATTTTTCTCGTAGTTTATCATTCAAATTTTATAGTTGAAGGCAGGGGCGTAGCCATGTGCATGTGAGGGGGTCGTCGGAAAAAGATACCATTCATACAAGTAAAATAATACATATAGTGATTAAATAACATATTTTAGACACTCTTAATACAATAGGTTATTGTAGTCTAGCAGTTTCAGACCCCATAAATGCGTTCCACACACCTTGAGTGAGTCGATGCTTGCGTGTTCAACTCTCACTAGCACCATAAAAGCTTTTAATAGTTAAGACTCATATAAACTATACATGCAATCGATAAGTAGGAATAGCCACTAAATGTTGAGCTCTAGATACAACTAAACCAAATTTTTCAGTCATGTCTAGATCATTTGGCATCATATCATTTGGTAGCTTCCAATCAAAACAATGAACCAATTGTGCTATTACCAAGCGAACGACTATAAGCCCTAACTGTAATCCAGGACAACTTCTTCTTCCAGAGCTAAATGGTAAAAGTTGAAAATCACGTCCACGAAGATCAATATCACTTCCAACAAATCTTTCTGGCATGAACTTCTCAGGTTCGGGCCAAACTTCTGGATCTCTTCCGATTGCCCAGGTATTTACTAGAATTCTTGAACCTCTAGTTATATTAAAGCCATCAATTATGCAATCTTTAATTGATTCATGAGGGATGAGTAGTGGTGCAATAGGGTGAAGCCTAAACCCTTCTTTGATGATCATGTCTAAGTATTTTAATTTTTCTAAGTCTGATTCTTCCACAATTCTATTCATTCCAACTACTTGTTCCAACTCCTTTTGTAATTTCTTCATTACTTTTGGGTGCCTTACAAGTTCAGAGAAAATCCAATCAATTGATGTTGCTGAGGTGTCTATAGAAGCTATTAACAAGTCCTGCATGAAGACGATCGAGTCAGAAATTTTATTAACGAGTTCTAACCCTATTCATAAGTTATGATAAATAAAAGGGATAATGCACAAGTATCCCTTTAACCTATGCCCGAAATCTTAGAGATACACTTATACTATACTAAGGTCCTATTACCCCCTGAACTTATTTTATTAATAATTTTCTACCCCTTTTCAGCCTACGTGACACTATCTTGTGGGTCCAACATTGATTGACTTTTTTTTTCAAACTAGTGTCACGTAAGCCGAAAAGGGTAGAAAATTACTTATCAAATATGTTCAGGAGGGTAATAGGACCTTAGTATAGTATAAGTGTGTCTCTGAGATATCAAACATAGGTTGAGAAGGTACTTGTGCATTTTCCCTAAATAAAATTAAAATGACTGTAAACTATAACATATAGTTAAATAGATCCCATTTTATTAAAATTACCAATAAAATAGCCTTGATATGACGACGATCGAATTCGAATTCAGCTTCACCAGATTGCATGATATTCATCATAGTATCAACAATATCCTTAGTTTGTTTCTCCTCTTTGGAATTTTGAACATGTTCATCAATAACTCTCTCTAAAAATTCATCAAATACCTTTGCCAATTTCTTCGTACGAGGAATTAATCCTTGAAAATCAAACTTATCTAGAAAAGGAAAAAAATCACCAATATTTGGTGTTGCGGCTATAATCAAAGCCTCTTGAATAACATCTTTAAAACCCCTTTCATTAAATTCATCATCCATGTATTTTTTCCCAAATATCATTAAACATGACATATTAGCACTTAATAAAGAAAGATTAGCACTAATATCAACTTCATCATGACAAGAAGCTGCCCGATTGATAAAAGTCACAAAATTTGTAACTTGTTGTTTTCTCATATCTTGAAATGATTTTATCTTGATTGGACTAAGCAACTCTAACATGCATAATTTTCGTATATTTCTCCAATAAGGTCCGTATTTTGCAAACGTTAAATTTCTCTGATTATACGCGACGATTCGCATAGCTCTATTATTTGGTCTACTAGCAAAAATAAGATCATGTTTTTTCAAGAATTGTTCAGCAGCATGAGGAGATGAAGCAACAATTATAGGAATAACACCAAATTTCATGCTCATTATTGGACCATATTTTTTGGCTATTTTATGAAGATCTTGGTGGATATTTTTGCCAATCATATGGAGATTTCCTATAACTGGAAGCCCTCTTGGACCAGGAGGGAGTTTTTTCTTCTTTCTTATGAATTTGTTGTGTAAGTCTTGAAGAATGTATAGTATTGCAAGTAGTGCAAGAACTTGTAAAAATATTAAAGCCATGAGATGTAGAAATTTATTATTTTTGTGTGTTTTTTGCTTCCTAACTTGCGAATATTTATATACAAGTTGGCCTATTGTGTGTGTTGTAATATCAACCATATAAATGAAACTTATAATAGGGCGGCGGGGCAAAAATTAAAAAGATATAGACTTGGGACATAGAACTTCATTTGAAAATTTAAAATTTAGTTAATAAAGGCAGTTTAAGGATTTAAAAAAATTGATTACAAACATCGTGATTAGAAAAAAAGTTATTCATATATAATATAACAACTAGTATAATAATGTGTAGGCGAAATCTAATCCTTATACGACATGTGGTTGAAAGTTCACAAAGGGATATCTCACATAAGATTTTTTTTGCGGGTACAATATATGTTATTTCTGTTTTAATTTATATATCATAGATATAATTTTGAGTCAATCATTAGTTTTATAGATATTTTATATATTTAAGTTTTAATTATTATAACTTATACACCTTCTAGTTACTTATACATAATATACATAACTTTTTTTTTGTCTCAAATTATGTGAAGCATATAAATTTTTGAGAGTCAATCAATTTATTTATATATTTTTTATATTTTAAGTTAATCATTATGATTTATAATTTTTTATATAATTTTCAGAAAATATATATATGTTCCTTATGATTTATAATTTTTAATATTTCAAGTTATTAATATATTTATTATAATTTATAGATTTTTTTTAATGAAATTCAAATATATAACTAATTAGAAAAATAAAAATTACAAAAACTAAAATAAAAAAGAACAACTTTGACCTATAACAAACACAAAAATTATATTTATATGTTATAGTTTGCATAATAGCGCTCCATAACAAATTTTATGTTTGCTATATATATATATGTTTGTATAAAGCAAGAAAAAGAGATAAATATCGTATTTGTATAATCACAAGTGTAGAGGACGAAAATTATATGTTTTGTATTTGTATGTGCAATTTTCTTTGGCTTTATACAAATACAAACACAACATATATAATCGGTGTTTGTACAAAGTGAAAGAGACGAGTGAGAATGGCGGGCGAGATCCGAAAGAGGGGAGAGAGAGGAACGAAAATATATGTATATATTCAATTTTCTCTCGCTTTAATAAACACAAAACATTTTATACATTTTTGTTTATATAAAAGCATGAGAGGCGAACAAAATTATCTAACAAGAACAAGAGTGACGAGCGAGATTTACCATAAAAAAGAAAAAATAATTATAATTTACTATGAGATACGATTTAAATAAAATATAATTATAATATTTAATTTAAATTAATAATTTATTATTATATATAATTTTAAATTAGCTAAAAATAGGAAAAGAAAAAAAGAAAGATATGACGGCCCACACAAAGTCAGTAATTGTGGCTTGGCTGGACAACATCACATGATGAGTTTAATTTCTGTTTGAAACAAAAAATGGTGAGGTACGAATCTTGTTAAAGCATAAAATTTATCATATAAAGTATTAAAAATACCCTCGACTAGAAATAGACACGTTAGTCATTAATTGCCCACTTCTGGCCTCTTCTATATAGTATAGGCTCTAATGAGATGTACACAATATAGGGCCTTCACCTACTATTGATTAAAATGGTAAAAAAAACTGTCTTTATTTATCATTCTTAATTATGAGAAAAAAAGATGATTAAAATGGTAAACAAATTGTCTGGCTTTATTTGTCATCTTTAATTATGAGAAAAAAGATGATTTATGAAGATACTTATTATATCCTATGTTTGGAGAATAAATATCCTTCTTAGTAGGAATTCAAAATGAGTATTTGGATTTTAGAATTTTGTTTGGGACATAGAACTTCTTTTGAAAATTTAAAATTTAATTAATAAAGGTAATTATAATTACATTTAAGATATTCCTTAAATAAGTTGGGTTAAGAATTAAAAATATTAGTGTTGTGAAGGTTGTTTGGTTGTGGGTTAGTGTTAAAGAATGACAAAAAGTCTCACATCGGTGGTTAATGAGATGTGTGCTCTTTATAAGGCTTGGGGAATTTTTCTCCCTTTAAGCTAGCTTTTGGGTTGTGAGTTAAGCCTAAGACCTAATTTCACATGGTATCAGAGTAGGGC